TATTGAAATTTATTTAAATATTTTCATAAGTCATATTTCCAAAGTCAATTACAAAAGAATTCAGTTATTACATAAAATTACTAATCAACAATGTGTTAATAATATTAGAAAAGATCAACCGCAATTTATCTTTTTTTAAATTAAGTTTTTTTAAAAATTTGACTTTAACCTATTTATACAAAACTATAAGACAGATTTGATAAGACAAGTTTCGATCAATTAAGTTTTATTATTTAAGAATCAAATAATTTTTGTATGAATCTGAATCCAATCGTAAAAATTGTTTTTCATATTAGATTATTTTGAAGATGAAAGATATCGATTCTTACTATATTTATTATATTTATTATTTATTTAAATAGCTAAAGAAAATTTTTTTTAATATTTCTATCAATTTATCAATATAATATCATCTTTCTTTTATAAAGTCAAATTTGATTTATTGTTACAAGATTTTTTGCCAAGATACACGACTTTGGAATTATTTCAGAAATATTAAAAATCATAAAATGTCTAAAATGTACACAAATCTCGCATAAAAGAATGTTAAAAGCTAACAGTTTATTTTTTTCCAACATCAAGAAAACAAAACAATGATTAACAATGATTAACTTGTTTGTTGTTGTTGTAATTTTAATCAGAAAATTGTACAACATTACGAAAGAGAAATCGAGATCGAGAAACGAGAAACATAAACATAAGTGGTGTAAAAAGAGTGCTTATTACTGATGTTTTACTATGACAAAATTGCGTATGTCGGTAATAATGGCGACATTTAACGGATTTTTCATCGTTCGAGAATCCAATTTACCAAGAGCATGAACGATTTCATCGAAACTTGTTTATCTTCATTTGATCGCGTAAAATACGTGTAACTGTATAGTTATTTATACCTACTAATGAAGGCAATTAAGCTGAAAATATGGTCTATCACGCACTGAGGATAATTAGGAAGCATCGTATTTATGCATGCTAATTGGATTTTCAAATCCACAGGAAATATTTGAGTCAAATATAATCCTAGAAATTATAATAATTATTTTTGTGATTACGAATAATTAGTTTATGATCTTGAAAAAACTTATTTTGAAATTTCTTTGATTTTAATTCGCTTGTAGTTACTTGTTATATTTTCTCTTTTATTGCGAGTCTTTGTTTGACCTTTCTGACTTAACCGGTATAGTAGATTTCTTCATTATCCCAATAGAATATGTATATATTCGTTTTTATTGTGTCAAATAGTTGCAAATATAATTTATTATTATGATTTTTTTAAACATATCAACATTTTGTGAATATAAATTGGCAATAATAAATGATGAATAGTTAAAATAGTGAATGATTGATTAGAAAGATTCTCTGTTTATTATGGTTTTTTTTCTTTTTAGAATATAGAATGGAATATGATTTAGATATAAATTTGCATTTGTTATTACTAAAAATTTAATTAAAATGGTTCATGCCATTAAGTAAGTGTAAATCACATATCTTTTAATATAAATTTTTCATTTATCATTTAACATTTTCGTTACAAAATGAAACTTCTTAAATCATACATTATATGAATGATAACTTGTTCAAATAAATATTTTTCTTTTCTTTTTAAATTCTATCTCTAATAACTCTCTAAATTCTAATATTTTTCTCAATAATTTATTAATCTCAGAATTTATTAATTTTTTCTGTATTATAAATATTATAATGTATTATAATATATATATATATATATATATATATATATATAAAGCATATGTTACATGCAAACTATTAATTTTAATAATGTGGAGTTAATATAATTTCAGCTTATAATTATTAATTATTATTAATTATACTTGAAAATTCTGCAAATCGATCAGATACAAATTAATGATATATTTCTTAGAAAACCAACAGAACATATAATATTAATACCTCCAGTTAATAAAATATAATAATAATAAAAAAGATGAAATTATGAGAGTATTATTTATGAGAGTCTTAAATATAAAAACGATTAAATTTCACAGATTAGATTTCAATATCTTAAGTCGATATTTTTGACAGATATAAGAAAAGAAAATGCATTGAATGAGAATGAATGATAAAAAGAATGAGAGAATGAAGAGAATAAAAAGAATAAAAGAATAAAAAGAATAAAAAGAAATCAGAAGAAATACGAGTGAGCAAGATTACACAATTGGATATATGGACTATCGTTCGATATCGTGTTTTATATAGATATTCGAAATTATTATATATATTATTATATAGATATTCGAAAAAGTAAAATTTTAAGAATTTACTAATTTTATCTTACTCAGCTTTGTCTTTGTCATTGAGAAAAAGAAATAGAGAGAGAGTGACATAAAATAAAGTATAACAATTATTCAGCAAGATTATCTTTTGGTAATTGAAATGAATATCTATGAGAATCAATACAAATATAATCATTTAATAAAATCTCAATAATTTGATTAAAATTATTTATAATAATATAATACAAAATTTGTAAATTAATTATATTTTTTATTCTAAGATTTACTAAAAATTCCAGGAATTAATAAAAATAAACACTCACATAAGCAAACAAATTATATATATACATATAACATATACATATATTACTTACAATATTAATATAATTAGGAATATAATCAAGTTCAACATATATTTATAAATTCCAATCAATTTTAATAATAATAAAATTTCTAAGTTTCGATTATTGATTATTGAAATAAAATATCAATGAATATACTTTTAATCATTTTATATAAACTAATTTTGAACTTTAGAATGAATATTATAAGTACACTATAAGTTACAATATAGAATATATATTATATAGGAAATATAAAATAACTAATTTGATGTTCGAAAGATTCGCACTTTTCATAAATATTTCAATAAGTGGTAATTCTATAACTGATAATTTATTATTTTTGTTTAGGAATATCCAAGTTGATGTTCGCTTTTGAACTAAGAAGCAATGTGAAAGAAATTACTGTATTCATAAAAAATTCGAATTTATTCAATCAAAATAAATCGACCTCCTTTTCTTTTTTTTAAATTGCTCAAATTTTCAAATTCTTTGATCAGACTGTTCGATAATACATTTACATTTTTCAAAATATTTACTTTTAGTAGAAGCGATATAGGTAAGCGAGATGGTAAAATCAGTCAAGCGAAAATAAAATTTACATGCCTGAAGAATGTTCGATGTCAATTCAGAATTAGTTTTTTTTTTCAAGTATCTAAGTCAGCAGTAAAGATTTTCTTGGCAACTCTGGACATAAGATGCGTATATCCTTGAATGTGACTACTAAAATCAATGTCATCATTTAATATTTTTATTTAATTTACGATCTCACTATTTCGTCCGAGTTCGAGTCTTGATTTATTGTTTTCCTCATTCGAAATATTTATAAAATATTCGAAATGATTGAAAATTATATGTATATATCACATCTTTAATTATAATCAATTTATTGGATTTTTAAAATTTTGAACACATATAAGATAATATGAGAAAACAATAGCACTCAGAATATACTCTGAATGGAAAAAAAATTTTGATCACACATGGCAATGCAACTAGATCAGCTACACATATAAAAGGTAATATTGACATTGGCCTTTTAAAATAAAAGAGATTATATCATGAAGAGGATAAGAACCATCCACTTGCTGAATCAATTTAATTGCAATCGTCAGAAATGTTTATCAAACTATTAGTATATATTCTTACTTGATTTTTTTTATAATATATTCATTTAATTTAATTTAATCCTATTACTTTACTTTCATCAGTGAAATCATGTGATAAATATATTTTTGTAAAAAAAAATCAATTATCAATAATAAATTAACGAAAATCAAAGAGTTAATCTCGAATTATTGAATAGCATAGTGGATATTGAATTGGATTTGAATTACGCAATCAACTCATTCCAAGACAGTCATTTCCTAATTAAATAACGCTAATGAATTATCAATTATAAAGCAGAAATAAATTACTAATTACAAAGCTACTATATAATTATAATCTCTTTGCTGGAAACTTGAAAAACTTTAGTATACAGTATACATTCGATAAACAAAATAATATACATTTGCAGATTAAATAACATAAGTTAATTATAATCTCTTTGCTGGAAACTTGAAAAACTTTAGTGTACAGTATACATTCGATAAACAAAAGAAATAGTATACATTTGCAGATTAAATAACATAAATCAATTATAATCTCTTTGCTTTTGTCAATCTTCTTAAAATTTGAAGATAAATAAATTAAAGAATTTTCTATAAAGTTTCTTTTAATATAAAATTGCCAAATAAATTTCTTTTGTGGGAATTTGTTAAGACACTCTTTTAAAGTGAGAGAAAAGTAAGAATAGAAGAAATGAAAGTGGAGGAATAAATAAAAAAAATTGATATTTTTTATGGTTAAATTGCTATCTTATCACAACAATATATATATATATATATATATATATATATATAAAATAGAAAATCAGTTATTTATTTTTTCATGTTTATTTTTTTTTCCATTTATTTTTTCATTCTATAAAATTTTTCTAGCAATTTTATTCCTTTATAGAATGTTAATATACCTTTGAAAGGTTGTTTTTAGAGATTAAAACAAACATAAAAGTTGATTTACAATTAAATGAAGTTTACATAAAGAGAAAGTGAGATGCAAATAGAGATCGTTGTGTGACCATTACACCATTCTCATACTCTGTGTCGTTTCTTCTAATGCAAACTTAAATTATTTATAATTTAATAAATAATAAATAATAATAATAAATATGCTTCAAGCAAAATTTTTATAAACAACTTTTGTGTCTGTTTTGATCATTAAAATTGATCTTCCAAAATTCATTAAAATTTCATTAAAATTGATGTTCCATTACACTCTATAAATATATGAATATATAATGTATTTTTTTTATTATTTTTATTCGATTCTTCCATAGAAATTTACTATAAATTACTTGGCTTTTTTTGTATTGTATTTGTTTAACACTTCTATTAGGCTGTCTTATAAGTTTCTTTTCTTTTTGATAAAATGAATACACAATATTTGTTGTTTAAGGTTGATTTATTGCGTTATATATGAACCGTTCTGCTCTATCACTTTCTTTCATCTCTCAGAAAACATCATTATTCCTCTTTCTGAAATTATTGGAGTTTACTTACAAAATATTCCTCGAGGTATGTTTTTATTTCGCTTACGAATTGGAACCATTTATTATGGAGAGAATTTTTTAATGGCAAGAGCAAATAATAGTCGAATAGAACAAAATCTGGAAAGTATGGAGGATGCAATAGAATATCTCAATTAAACTGTAATAGTTTTTCTCTTATAGGTAAATGCTGCAACACAGTTTTGCATTGTCGTGATGAAAAACGATAGCTCATCGGTTCCTTAATTCTGGCCGTTTTTCTTCTATGGCGGCTCTCAATTTATCAAGCTAATTGTAGTATTTGGTAGAATTGATAGTTTCACTTTGAGGAAGAAACTCATAGTAGACTACACCTTTCCAATCCCACCAAATGGACAAAAGAACTTTCTTCGGGTGAAGTCTAGGCTTTGCGACAATTGAAGGTCTTGGATAAAATACGTTTTCCATGCATATTTTGATACAAAATCCAAATCTCGTCTCCAGTGACAAACTTTTTTAAGAAAAGATCTCTTTCATATCGCTGGAGAAGTAAATTGCACGTAGAGACGCGATTCATAAGGCCCGTTTCCGTCAATAATTATAGAATCCAAACTTTACATCGATTAATATATCCCATCCTGATCAGATGATTATGTACCGTTGTTCTGGGAATATTAGTGATATCCATTATTTTTCGCACACTATATCGCGAATTTTCAGCGAGCATGGTCTTGATAAGATCCGTATCCGTCGTTGTTAGACAGCCGTTGCGGTCTTCGTCTTTCAAGTCAAAATTGCCAGCTCTAAATCTCTTAAACCAATTGCGGACAGTCGTAATAGTCGTAGCATCACTCCCGTAAACGATACAAATCTCCTCTGTATCATTTGCACTATTACTTTTTTTAAAATAATGAGGCATAACATGCCGCAAATACTTTCTTTGACTACCCATATTGGCGTAGAAAAAATTTTTAAAAGAGATTGTATCACCAACGTACTTTAAAAGAGCTCTGAGACGATTGAAAAAAATGCCATAGACGGCTAACAGATAAGCCTGCATATTTATATAAAAAAATAGCTAGTTAAAGTCATTCTAGTATGGCGCGAAAGAAAAACTTATGGGAGACTTAATATTCTTTGATAGTGATTAGGTATAATTGTTTTCTATTGAGAACTTCTATTTTATCTTCTTCTCTAGTTGACAGATAAATAATAATGATTTGCTATGATCTTTTCTCTCTTATCATTAATTTTTATTGACCTATCAAAGACTTAAAAATCATATTTTCACAAAAAAAAAAAAAAAACTATTTTTCAAGAACAAAATGAAGTATATTTTTAAAGAATAAAAAGATAAATAGTTGTTTTTGAAAGACAGAAAATTATCTTACCTACGCATGAATTAGCGTCATTCAGAGACAAATAAAGATCACAATCAAAACCATTTTCAAAACTTATAAAAGCATAGAATATATTATATATTTATTGAATTTGAATTGAAAACGAAAATAAATATGAAATTTAGAAAAAGTTACAACATATTTATAGTTAATTTTTCTACAATCACTTACAAAAATATTTTATGCAATAATTATTTAAAATTATAATATCGTATAAATAAATTCTTTGTTTATAATTCAAATATTTTGTTTTTTTAATTATTACTTATTATCATTATTTTTAAAAAAATAATAATAAAATAAAATACAAAAATAAAATGTAGAAAACATTCAAATTATGAATAAAATTTCAAGACATTACAATTTCAAGACATTGAATTATTAACATGTATTTGAATAAATTCTTATTCAAAATTCAATTGAATCACTAGTAATGCATTTAGTAGATATTATATTAAGATCAATAGTCAAGATTTTAAATTTAACATTTAAAAGAAGTTATTTTGTAATGAATTATTGTAGTATGTCATTTCAATAAATTTTGATATATTCAAAGTGCAATTGAATCAATATGTTTACAATGTTGTATTGAGATTGGTAGTCAATGTTTCGAACGGAACATCTACAAGAAATAATTTTATTATGTAATCGCTCTTGACCTTGTGTTATAGGTACTTACATGTATCTTGAGAGATATATTGAGATATATTGCTATCAATATATAAGAACATCATAAAATAAGAAATGAAAAAATAAGAATGAATTTCATATTTCTTGAGTGATTTTATCTGCAAAAAAAATTAATATGATTCTATGATGATCCCTTAATTTAAAAATTTGTCAAATATTTAAGCAATAAATCTACAAAGATCTGTTTTTTTTGATCCATGTTTTCGTTATTAAACTGTTATTTACTTCATTAAAAATATGAATTAAAAATAATTCCAAATCCAGTTTGAAGTAAGTTAATAGTTAAATAATTTTTATTTGACAAATTTTTTTTTATCCTCATGGTTCCAAAAATATTCAATGCTAATTCTTATTGGATCATTTTATATATGTATAACACATATAAAAACATATTGAAAAAATTATGATAAAATTGGCAATATTATATAAAAAAGGATTTTGCAAGACACATAAGAAATACCTTACCATAGGTTAAAACTATGTCTGCTTTATAAGTGACTGTCTAGTCATCTGAGAATTAATTTGTTAACGAGTTCTAATGATGAAATGAACCAAACTGATAAATATTTCAACGGAAATAGGTTATAAAATCATTGAGATATATATGTATGCATAATGAATTTAAAAGATATTTTTTACAATAACTGAAATCTTTAATCTTTATTTTTTTACTTTTTCTTCTTTATCTTTAATTACATTTGAAAGTGCCATATTTATTAATATAATTAATATAAATTTTTTTAACTTGATAAAAAAAGTATTTATCAATTCTATATTTGAGAACTAGAATAACTCAAATATTATTATAGTATAATAATAATAAATATAATACTTTGTAACATATGCAACACTTTATTATTTAAGTATGAATGTTTTCTATTAAAATATTTGTATTTGTTGTATTTTTTCTATTTTTATATTAGAATTATCTATAAAAAAATTTTTCATACATAAAAAAATAAAATTTTTTTCTCTGTTTTTATGTATAAATAAATAAACTAAAATAAAACAAAGAACTTATAATTTAATAAAAATTAAATTGTCAATAAAAATCTAAACTAATAATAAAATTTTAAACAAAATAAAAAAAATCTTATAATTGATCAATACGAAAACACAGAAAATCTAATAGTCGACAAATATCTTTTATCTTCTCAATCGTGTTTTACTAAATTTTTATTTAATTAAATAATTATTAAGTTACATTTTCTCTTATTTTTTTTTATTTATTTATTTTTCTTATTATTGATTATTTATCACGATCAACTAAATATGCGAGAAATCATGGAATACAATCGGTATATTATATAATTGGTATCGTGTCTATACAAACACATCGATGTTCCAAAGGAATTTCGAAATTGAATAATTTTAAACAAATGCAATTGAGATCAGTCATCGACCCGGACCAGAACAGGAATTAACTTTAAGGTGAAACTATTCATTAAATGCAACCTTAAAGACAACAGAAAAAGAAGATTAAAACTCTTCTATCATATATTACATTTATTTCAAAAAAAAATTATAGGATAACAAATTCTTTATAATTTATATAATAATGTTTATCAACATTTAGATCATCAATACAGATTTATCTTTTATTTAATTAAATAATTTGTAACTTTTTAAATATAATTACATAAAAATACATTTTTAATAATATAAAGTAAAGATAGTATTATTATAATATCTTTCAAAAATAAAATTTTTAGTTCAAATTCATTTTCAGATTTTTTAGATTGCTGAAGATGAAAATTATGATTATTTTTTACGGAAATGTACTTTTAAAATAAAGTATAAAAAATAATTCAAGAATTTTCATAATAAATATGATTTTCCGCGGAAACATATGATTAATATAGATCCGTAAATTATCAATTTCTAAATATCTGAATATGTAATTCATTAATTTTTGATATTTAAAACTATTTAAAACTTCGATATTATGAATTTATTTTATTAAAAATTATTTTATTTTTTAAATTATATATATATATAGCATTCGATATTTTTAAAAAATATTCCATGAAAAATGACTATGATTTACGAATTCAGTGATTCAAAAAACACCGCAAAATAAAAAATTTGAATTAAAAATTTTGCTTATTCAAGCAATATTCAAAATATAATATTTTATTTTTAAGAATCGTATAAATCGCAAATACATGCAAAGTAAAAAGAGAATATTAATGATGATATTAAATGAAATATTAATAAATTATATCAATAATAATAAACTAATATTAATAAACTATATCAATAGTAAATATAAAATATTAAATATATAATCACAATAAATTTTTAATAATTTTTAAATATCTATTGTAATTTTATTGCAATATATATGCAGTATTATTTTATTCATCTCTTTCAAATTTTTTAAAAATTATTAATTTCCTATCAAAAGAATTTTTAAAATTCAATTAGATATACTCTATAGGCTTATATCTATATAAATTTATATAAATCTTTAAAATTTAAAATTCTACTTTAATTTTATCATTTTCAAATATGATTTAATTTCTTTAATTTCTTATATTTTTATGAAATTTAGTCAAAGTTAATTAAAATGTAGAGGAAGTATCTTATGAAAATTTTGCTATAAGCGGACGGAAATATGGTCAAGATTGTGATAATTATTAGATAACAAGAAATCTAAAATAGTCACTAATCTAATTCAAACAAAATATTTATTCAGAGAAGATTGTTTATTCAATATATATAAATGACAGAAATTATCCTAGATTTTAAAATCAAAAAATTATAATTATAATTTAATTGTAATTTTTTTATAATCAAATATTTTATTTATAGAGAAAATTTTAAACGAAAAGTTAATTTTTATTTATAATTATTTATATGGAATTTTAATATTAAAATAAATAATAAAAAATTTTAGTATTAATTTATTTATTATATCATTATATATGAAAAAAATAAATTATATGGAAAAAAATATTACTTAAATATTTATATAACAATTAATAAATAATAGTAAAAAAATATAAATTCGATAAAAAAATAATATATAAATGTAAATTTAAAATAATTGATGAATAAAAAATAAGTCAATATTTTCATAATTTAAAGATTGTTAAAATTCATTGAAGAATATTCTGTTTGATGTAAATCACTATAAATTGGAATTATAACAAAATTTCATAATCTCAAGATACAATCTTAACTTTTATTACTATTTTTAAGATTTTCAAAATTAATAGCAATAAGACATTTTCCATGATTTTCATTTCGTAAATTAATAAAATTCTATGTTTTCCGGGAATATTTTGTATAATAATGTCATAAAAGTCGATTTATAGCATCATAAATTTTCTAGAATTGAGATAACTTCATCACGAGACACTTTATATTGATACAAAGAGAAACTATAATTTTTTTTTTTTTTTGTAATAATGAAAGTATACGATTATACAAAGTATTATAATTGGCTACTTTCTCAACAATTGATCGAGATAGTGATAAATCAACTTGATTTTCAGTATAAAATTTATTCTAAGTCTATTTTCATTCTCTTTAATTTTTTCAATAAGCTTTAAATCTTTAAATAATTATTTAGGTAATTATATATTTATAAATATAATAAACAGATTAGTGGCAGCAATATTAAATTAATTACGGAAGTAATAATTAAAAATAATATTTAATATGAACTGATTCCAAATAAATTTATTTTTAAATTACTTTCTTTTAAATTTGTATATTAAACTTTATTTATTTAAAAACTTATCAACTTATTATTTTACTTAAATCACTTCTTCTTAAATTAAATATATGTTAAATATATGAAATTATTAATTAAATAGATGAAAATAAGTTTTAAATAATTATTCTATGTAGTTTTTATATTAAGAAAACTTTTAAATTAAGAAATGTAATACTTAAAAATATCAAAATTAAATTATAAATATCAAAATAAATTATCTAATATTTGTAAAATATCAAAATTATTCCAAGCAATTGCAAATATTTTATTATTATATATTAATTTAATTAATTAATTTTATTATTATATATTAGATTATATTTATTTTTAAAAATCATTTTTATCGTGTAATATTATTTTATTATATGTTATGTATTATATGTATTATTGTATATTATTGTAGATTATTATATGTATTATATGTATTTCATGTATATTAT